GAAATAGAGATGAATAGATATATAGACAAGGAGATAGAGACGAGGATTTAGACGAGAACCTCGTAAATCGAGGCTTGACGAGTAACCGACATCACGTGACCACGCATCCCGTCGCCCCGCTAGGAATGCCGCTGAAGGAGGCGACACGGCGCATCCCGGAAGGTGTCCTTCCCATGATGGACCTGGGACCGACGTCAACGGGCATCAGCGGGCTCGAGGATGACGTCACCAGCTTCCTGGATCGATGTAAGGAGGAGGGCGTGTTCACGAGGGAGATGCCCTCGTCTAACGTCGCCTGGCGGGCTCGAGGATGACGTCACCAGCTTCCTGGATCAATGTAAGGAGGAGGGCGTGTTCACGAGGGAGATGCCCTCGTCTAACATCGCCTGCCACCACAGAGGACTTCTCGAGTCGATCTCGTCGTCGTTCTTGGAGAATGTGAAGAAGGTGAGGAGGGAAAGGGTAAACAGGAAGGGTGAANTTATATATGATTGACTCACTATTGATTGGGATTTATAATTATTATTGACAGACTGATAATGAACTAATATTATAACACACTACAAAGATCTCGACATTCACAACAACCTAGTATGTAAACTAAGGCTATGAGATAAGACGTGCAGGAGTATTTACCGATATGAGATTACGTAGTGAAAGCTATAAAAGATAAGAGTCAAGGGTATGAGATAGACGTGAAGGGTTATGAGATAGAGAGTGGAAGGTATGAGGAAAGACTGAAGCTGATAGATAAGACTGAATGTATGAGATAAGACTGAAGGCTATGAAATAAGACTAGATATGTCTTATGAATTAAGAGTGAGTGTAGTAAGTTGCGTTTATGAGATAAGAACTATAGTGATGGTCACTGATATATTGTAAGATAGTAAGAACTAGGTGTGATAAGGTGATCTAGTGATGAGTGATAATGAAGTCTGTGATAGTGTACTTTGATTGGGATAATATAGAGGGGTAGATGTATGTGGTAATTGGAGGTTAATTAAGGTTCAATGATGGCTTTGATGAGATAAGAGTGAAGGGCTATGAGATAGAGTGAAGGGATGAGATAAGACTCGCAATGCTATACGATAAGGCTGAAACGGTCATGATTTGATAGGATAAATAATGAGTCTGAATGATGCTTATGAAGATATGAATTAGATGGTTGACAGAGCTATTGGAGATATAGTAGTAAAGGTCATGAGTATGTAGTAATGTGCGATGAACAGTGAGTCTTACTAATGGTAATTCGCATGTAGTGTTAGATGAGTTATGTAGGTAGCGAGAATGAGTAGGTTAGGCGAGCGATTAGGCCATGATTGAGGGTTGCTGTAGGTTAGTACGCGTGTATGATATGTTTAGGCCGATGGACCCTGTGTTTGATCTTTTTAGTCGAAGAAATTTGGTAATGTGTGTAGTGGCGTGAGGGGTTTTCCGAAAAGCTCCCAGCTCGACAGAGTGGTTGACGCTCTCGCTCATTTGGCTGCGTTTCCTGCACGCATCTACGATTTATGCCCTGTGGAGTTGGGTGTTGGGTAGAATGCCGTGAGGAGAGACGGTTCGCGGCGCGTGATTCGTTTCTTTCCTAGGTTGAACATCAAGACATAGGGCTGTAATCACAGTACGCATGCAGTTGGCAGGGCGTAGTCGTCGTGCGTGACGGGGCACGTATGCGGCGAGAGTTGTTGGTGGATGGCAGTGGCTGTGTTGCGCCGCCTAGAGTTTTGGAGCAAAACAACAATTGATTACTTATCTTTCAATTTTGTGCCCGTGTGTTATGGCAATTTGTAACCTTATATTTGGATAACAGCAGGATTGGCATTCTGACCAAGCCCTTGCCGCCAGCACTCAGCCGTCTCTAATCAGACGCAATTTTCAATATTAGACATTTATAATCTCAAACGAATACTCAATGCATATTTTTTGGCTTTAAGAATTATAATTATTAGTGATGCTATCTTTACCAGGATGATTATTTTCCATAAACTCAATAAAATAAGTTGAGGACTTTCATGTGAAATCGCCTCTGAAATTACCCCGTTTTTGCCTTTTTTTTAAGACATTGGTATATAAATGTTTAGGATCTAAATTTAAGATTTTATAGAATACTCAATTTTGATTACAATTCTTCTTTTAAACAGAATGATGATGTGTTCAATGACTAAGCGTCTACATATCAGTATTTACTTGTAGGAAATTGCATGCATCAACGTTTGATCATATATACAATTCGCACTCAACTATAAACAGTGATGTGAGATAAATGGATAAACGCCAGTCCTCAAATCGACTTCCACTTCAAATACCGTTTACTGGTGACAGGGTTAATAGCTAATATATATATTATTATATTATTAACTATAGGAACGTATATGATCACTACGCCAATATATGTATATATATATAACAGATTACCTGTAATTGGATCAGTATATTTATAGTGGTTATTGTCCAATATGACAGGTCTACTCACGTTATATTTGGAGCTATTTGTCGAGGGAAGGGGGTAATGTTTTCCTTCCCACACAAACCGGTGTGATCTACTCTGCAATCTAAATGATTCAAAGGGTGGGACCTATTACCGCACTCTCTACATGGTTCCCACCGCAGTCAAGGAGCGTGTATTCTCTTATATCCGGAGAGTAAAAAAACGACAGCACCCATTTGTTCCAATCCATCGCGCGGGCACGGCACGTCGATCCGGTCATTACACAGGTTGGCGAACTTATGTTCACTGCAGCACTTATTCTATAGTATTAGTCATATGTATGTCCAGACGCGAAAAAGAGTGTGCTTTTGATACGCTCCTGTTCTACGCGCGCTCATGTGGTTTGCGCTTGTCAGCAACACACACAAAACACACACACAGCACGTGTGCGCGCGCTCCGCGCACAAACACACACACGGCACACGCGCACGCGCCGCGCACGCACACGCACAGCGAGCACATCGCACCACGCACGCCACGCACCGCACCACGCACCACCGGCACAGCCTTGTCTCTACTACGACAATCACGCCGCTCAAGCGCCACCTACGCACACTGCAATCAATCGGGATTAAACACGGACCTACAGCAAGCAACACACGCCTCTAACGCGAAACTACCTACAATAACCTGTCTCATACTTATCGTATACTCATTCCCCTCCGCTCTCCGGTTTCTTTGGTACGTGGGACTCTGGAGGAGAAAGATCACCTTCGATGAGCTTCTACGCCGAAAATGTACATATAACTGGGGTTGTTTATCGTAATTGGGAAAGGACGCCCCTCATTACGCAGATAGTTGCATAGTACCTTACGGAACGGCCCGCTCGTCATTCCGGCATTGTATGCGACCCTTCGAAACCTTGTAGGAGGTAATTCAGCAATTGAATGTTCTTCTTATTTAATTAGCAAAATTAGATTGCTGTGGACGATATAGTAGCAAACAAATGTTGTGTTGATATATGAGTGTGATATGATGAGTGTGGATATAAAGAATTTTGATATGATGAGCTTGTGATATATATAAAGGGAGGGCGTTTGCATATGATGAGTTGATATGATGAGTGTTGATATTATGATGACGTGTTGATTATGTGAGTGTGAATATGATGAGTCGTGATATGAAGAGTGTGATATGAAGAGTGTTGATATTTATGAGTATGATATTATGATGAGTGTATATGGCCAGTGAGTTGTGATTATGAAGATGCTTGATTATGATGTGGAGTGTTGCGTGTGCTGTGCGCGGTGTGCGGTTTGTGCTTGTGCGTGTGGGCGTGTTTGCGGTGGTGCTGTGTGGATATGATGAGCGGGGCTGGTGTGAGTGTTATGGACGAGAGTGTGATATCGATGAGTGTGATATGAAGACGACAGTTGTGCGCTGTGGCTGCATGAGTTTTATGCAGTATGATATTGGAGCGAGATTGAGAATGTGATATGATGAGTGTGATATTGATGAGTGTGATATTGATGAGCTGCTGATATGAAGAGGCGTCTGTGATCAGTAAGCGGTAGTGTGGATTTGATTCGTATGAGTATTAGATATTATTGATGAGTGTGACCTATGATGCGAGTGTGATATGAAGAGTGTGATATGAAGAGTTTGCGTTGCGCGTTTGCCGCGGGTGTTGGGTGTTGCTGTGATTATTGAAGAGTGTGATATTATGAGTATGTACTTATGATGAGGTGTGATCATGCATGAGTGTGATTGGATAGGGTAGGGGAGTTTTTCGGTGCGCGCCGCCCTGCTGGCAGCTGGGTATATAGTGGTGTGATGGTATGACGAGCTGTGATATGATGAGTAGTGATATGAGAGTGTGATATTATGAGTATCGGATATTATGATGAGTGTGATAGGAGTGAGTGTGATATGAAGTAGTGATGATGAGGTATAAGGATGATTTGTGATGTGTGTGATATGATGAGTGGAGTATTGGATTGCATTTTGTGGATATGACTTAGCTGTGATATGATGTTGATGAGTGTGATATGAAGAGTGTGATATGATGAGTGTGATATGATGAGTGTGATATGAGTGTGATATAAAGAGTTTGATATGATGAGTGTGATATGATGAGTGTGATATGATGAGTGTGATATGTGTGTGATATGATGAGTGTGATATGAGTGTGATATGATCAGTGTGATATGATCAGTGTGATATGTGTATGGATGGTAGTAGTCGTAGCTGTTATTTATAGTGCATCTAATATAATATTATCATAGTAGCAGTAAATTCGATAGTAGCTAGATGACAATTAAGGATATCTTATTCAGTCGTAAGGATATTGTCATTGCTTCAGTTGCTGTATACACCGTATGAGGCAGTCTATCTCTACATCGTCACCATGTTTTTGTGGCCTTAACCAGCACAAAACATCGCGAATCCGCAATTTCTTGTGGTGTGGTGCAATAGTGTGTTTAGGTGGATTTAGATGGCGTTAGGATGGTAGTCGAACGCGGATAAGCCTCTCTATAGCCAACGTTCTGTTTACACACACGAGCGCGCGCTCTCCCTCCACCCTCTCTTTCTCTCACACACACACACACACACACACACACACACACACACACATATTATTGGGCCATGAATTGGCATTTCCTCTGCACAAATCATACGCGCGCGCAGCTGTCACGGTCAAAGTACACGTTGGACTTATTTCCCGCGAGTGGGAATCACAGCCACAGTCAAACCATCTCTATATAACGCATATATGTCTACAGACTACACGTTTGGCAGCTGGTCTTTCTTTTACGTGGCGACTACACAGTAAAACGACCTCTACAGAACGGACACCTGATTATAACGGACACTTATACGCGTTTTCCTTTCCCTTACATGAAGGGTTTACAAGCACTGACGCACACGTGGCGGTACACGGCTCTTACAAGACTGCCACTGTGCGAGGCAGCATCTTGAGGTGATCTACACGGCATCTAGGCATCTTGAAGTAGTGATATACACGCGATGCGACGCAGACCGATAGCCTTCATGTTCTGGGGGCATTGCACACTTCAATGGGCCACCACTCGGGGGCGCCACCTGCCCTCACCTTGGCTCCCCTTCAAGATCGATCGCAGTCGGCGGTAGATTTCTGAGCACAGAGGCGTACGACCTGGATGCGAGAGTTGTACACCTAGCGCCGACGCGTGGCGTGTTCTGACCGACATTCGTGACACTTCCTCTACGTCGATCACATTGGCCATGCAGGTACAGTGAGCACGCCACACACCTCACGCCGCACGCACGCACGCACGCACACTCACACTAACACCACACACACACACACACACAACAAACAGCAACGACACACACACACAACACCCACACACAACACAACCACAACACCACAAACACACACGCACACACACGCACACGCACAGCGACACACGACACGCACACGTCATACACACGCACGCACACACACACACACACCACACACACACACACACAACACACACACACACCACACGCACGCACAACACACACACAACACATTATGATTATCAGATATAATATTACTATAGTATAGTATATATATATATATATATATATACTTTCTCGTGCCGTAGATAGCTCTGGTGGACACCGCGGTCGCGGCTTACGACATAATCCTGACGTCATCATGGGCATCTCCTGAGAGTCTCCGGCCAGCGCGTACGAGACGGCTGCTGGGCAGAGAGGAAGCTCTCGTCTCCTCCTACTGGTGGCCGAAGTGCGTGCAGGACATCAACCCACCGCGCGGCACAGCTGGGATCGTGGGTCGAGGGCGCGCTAGTACATTACACAGTATTGTTAGGACATCTATGCTACATCAACAGCTATAATTACCTCTATACCTAATAATCAGGGATATATTGATATTGTAGGATTCTATTGTACATACACCGGCGGGCATATATATATGATATCATGTACATATGTATAGGAATATATATATATATATATATACTATAATCTAGTATATTACGTGTCTATATAGGGTACTATATGTATATTGTGTGATTATCTGGTACACTCGCGCGCGTTAATAGCTATAGTCGTTGCGATAAAAAGAAATAAAATTAGCAAAAGATAAATGAGGAAATAAAGATGACGAGGAGAGATGGAAGACAGTTATTATAGAACACGAAGAGATTAGATAACGATGATAATAAATGAAGGGGGGTGGAGATAAAGAAACCGTGTTATAAGATAAGGAAGATGGAGATGACGAATAGAGATGAATAGATTATATAGACGAAGAATATAGCAGACGAGGAATATTAGACGGAACCTCGGTAAATCGAGGCTGCGACGAGTAACCGGCATCACGTGCGCGGCATCCCGTCGCCCCCGTAGGAATGGCCGCCGAGGAGGCGACCGGCGCATCCGGAAGGTGTCCTCCCTATTACGTACCTGGATCGACGTCAACGCGGCATCACGGCCGCCCGAGAGAATGACGTCACCAGCTTCCTGATCGATGTAAAGAGGAGAGCGTTGTTCACGAGCGGAGCATCCTTCGGAGTGCTACATCGCCTAACCACCAAGAGGACTTCTCTGGAGCCGATCTCGTCTGGTGACGTTCTGGGACCATGTAGAAGAGAGGTGGAAGGAGGCGAATAAGCGTAAAGAGAAGGGTGAAGGGAGGGACGCCTGGACGCGGTGGGTATGGCTATGACAAGGGGAGAGAAGCGTGTAATTCGCCTCGCGCCCATACTTCTCTCTCTCTCTCTCTCCCTCTCTCTCTCTCTCTCTTCTCTCTCCTCTCTCTTCTCTCTCTCCGTCTCTTTCTCTCTCTTTTTTTCCTCCCTCTCTCTCTCTCGCTCTCTCTCTCATTCTTTCTTTCTCTTTCTCGTCTCTCTCTCATTCTCTCATCTCTCTCTCCTCCTCCATCTCTCCCTTTCTCCGTCTCTTTCTCTCTCTCTCGGCTCTCTTCGTCTCTCTCTCTCCCGCTCTTTCGCTCTTCTCACTCTCGCGTTTCTCTGCTCTCTCTCTCTCTCTCTCTCTCTCATGTCTTACTCTCTTCTTCTCCTTTCTCTCTCCGTCTCTCTCTTTTATCCTCTCTGTTGGGCGCGCGCGCTTTCTCCTCTTCTTCTATTGTCTCTTTTCGGCTCTTTTCTCCCGTTCTCTCCCCTTTTCTCATTCTCTGTCCCTCTCTCTCGTTCTCGCTTTTTTTCGCTCTCTCTGTCTCTATCTCCCCCATTTCTGTCTCTCGGTCTAATCCTCTCTCGCTCTCAGATTTACTTACACACTCCGTTGCTCGTTCTCCCGCTCACATAATTGACTGCCCGCAGACCCATTCGCCTTAGGGACTATACGATTGTACTATCATGAAAATAACATGGATTTACCCTTAGATTATGACACCACGTAACCCATACAGGCAATACCGAATCCGCGTCCAAAGACTGCCCGTTGGAGAAGCACTAGCATTCGGCCATCCGACGATGCACCCAAGTTCATTCACGACTCCTGCTCCGCGGAATTCCAGCTCTTCAACATAGTACGTAAATACACGCGTTTTATCTTCTATTGGCTAGACGTGATGCGGTCATGATGCCGAAAGCTTTGGTGTCTTCCAATCCAGCTATGCCGCAGTTTTACTATTTTTAAATGTGGGGACCGCCATTGACCCCAACATCGCGGCGATACGTCAGGACTTAGGGCGTTCTGCTAGGCTAGAAACGGTTTCGACTACGATAGAGTTGGCACAAATACGAAATAACACCGCTGTTTGTAGTGAAAAACTGAGCTGCGCTACGTCCTCTTCTTGATGGGCATTTTCCATTTCCATAATCAGAATAAGCCTCGCACTTCTTCCGTTGATTGGCATGAAATGGGGGCGTCAACGACGTTACCCGTTAACTGCTGCGTGTAGGTGTTTGGCGACGACTGTTTGCTTCTTTCGTAAATAATGAAAGGCCCGGTCGATGCGATTCGCACGCGGTAAGTGAAAAAATTAGGCATTTTACCCCGCTTCGGAAGTGAACGAGTGCGTCATTCATTGAACAATTAAAGTTTTTTCTTAAAAAATTAAAATGAATTCGCGAGAAATGCCCTAACACGCGCTACTCGATTTGTTTTAGACTAATAAACGGTAGCTTGTTTGTGCTGACGTCTTGCCCGCGCGCTTTATGCTTGGCTTAGCGGGCACCGAAAGGATAATCGGAGGCACGCATATCTCGACAGCAGACGGCGATTTGTTTTACATATAGCTTTGTGAGCATGCAGGATGGGCGTGTCGGGAGTTGTCCTGGCGAATGATAACCTCGTAATTTCTCAGCATTTCTTAAGGTGCATGAACATTTAGCCAATTGTAGTGGTGTTCAGTTAGTTCACGGACTATGTCAGAGTAAGTACTAACTGTATATGTTTTCACATACGGTCACGCTATTTTGCCACACAGGCGGTCAATCATATGTAAAAATTGACTGAAGAATTTATATTTTTATTGAGACGTAATTCCAAGTGCCTGTGCTTTTCATGAACAGTCTAGTAGGCGTCAATGGCCGTGCGTCAAGAGGCCATAACACTCAACACAAATTAATCTCTGTTATTGTTTACGCCTGAATGCTGATTGATCAGAGAGGGTGCCAATGTAAAGGGAGACATTTTCTTTGGGTTCCGAAAACACAATTGCCACTTGACCAATGTTTATATGGCCTATTTCAATTGGAAGCTTCTGGCAATTGACGCCCCAACAAGCCACCTTTGACTGACTAGTCAAGAAATTCAAATGTCTGATATAATTGCTCTTAATTTAGCCCCGATAGTTGCTTTTTAGAACAGTCTTCATTGTTATGCTTCTAACAACTACAGACCATACCGCTGACGGCTGTGAGACGTGTGCGACGGCTTCGAATTTGGGCGCACGTCTCCAGCTGGCGGACAGCGCTTTTCATAATTGAACATCCGCCGACGGTGCGGTGCGCATATCCGCGAACTGCGCGTCTCATCGCGCGGTGCAGTGCTCAGGATTAACAGCAAAAGCTGTGTCAACACAAATCATTGTATCTATGTCTCTCTGATATCTCTGGCTGATAATCAGAAGTGAGGTAAATGAAGACCAGATAATTATCGGTATAATA